ATTGCTTAAAGACAGGCATATGTTCTGAGAAATTGCCAATTAAGCCGTTTTGTCATTGTGCCAGCATCTTTGAGTGTACTTCCACAAACCTGGGCAGTATAGCCTACTGCACACTTAGGCTGTATGGTATAGTCTGTTGTAATCTGTAGAACCACCATCATGTTGGGTTGTTGGGAAAGTCATGATGTGTTTTTCTATGTTTTTCTACACAAAAAATGCTTCGTGACTTTCTGGATGACCAAATATACACAGTCCGTTGTTGACTGAAACATTATCATGTTGAGTTATCAGGAAAGCCATGATGTATTTTTCTATGTTTTCCTATGCAAAAATATGTCATGACTTTTCTGATGACCTAATACAACGCATGACTACCTAGAAAAAGCTAAAAATGACCAAGGCTTTGTTGAACCTCATTTTCAATGCGTTTTCATATTGAATGCCATTCAGCCTGGCCCAGATTCAAGTCCTCTGGCAGTTCATACGTCTCGGAGCCTGTACTGGAGTCGTTAGCACCAGTTCCCACAGGACAGCTCTCTAATTGCTAGGACCGTGCGTTCCAAAGATAAAACCACCATCTCTCTTACTAGCTAATGATGGAGCTGTCAATCCCAATACTTACTTACAGCAAGCTCTTCAAAAGAAAATCTGTACCAAGACCAAATTTCTCTGTACACTCTGTGACTTGCCAAACCCCTGTTAGAGGGGGGAAAAAGAAACGTCGATTGCATATGGTTACAAGTTATCACCCCACACAGTTTTACAAAAACGTCTATTAATATCTAAAGCTGAGAGGCTCTAACAAATACTCATTTCCTTTTTCGTTAAGCGCTGCGGGGAGATGGCTGTCAGTGGTTGGGAGGTGAAGAATGAAGATGTTTGTAAGGCCTACAGCAGGCATGCTGCAGCCACTGAGTTCATGTGTCAGGCTGGCATCACTATATCCTGAAGCCCTAACCTGTCGAAATAAAAATCTTTTACCTGAGAGTTCCGTCCCTTTGGAACAGATACTCTCTTTTAAAAAGTGCCAAGCTGCCCTACTTTTCCCAAGTTGAGACAAATCTACTCAGGTTGGGAGGAGGGGACACCCCTCCCCCCCAAATGCATGCCCCACTGCCCCATTCAGGTGGAAATCCTTAGAACAATTAAGGCTCCCTCTGTCTTCCCCAGAAAAAGAGCAACCTATAGCAGGGCCTTGCTCATTTGCATTTGAAAACACAAAGCCTTACAAAAGCACTACCTCCTTGTTCAGAGCCTATAGATTCTCACAACCCATGGCCTCTTTATTCTTTTTCTTCTTTTGAGAGAGATTTTTGCTACAGGGTGCAGGGATGGCCACACCGCAATCTCTTCTCCATTCTTTTTTCAGGATCTTGGGCATGCACACATGTGTGCCTCAGTTTTAAGTTTTAAGTTTTAAGCTGCCAGGTCCAGGGCTTGAACCGTGGGCAACTACATGGAAGTCTAGAGATGTAACCATTATTGGTACCTGACTTCTTTCTTCTTCAGCTTTGTAAAAGCAAACCAAAAGTTTTCCTTAAAATGTAAATTCATTTTTTCTCCTTATTGGCTACCATTGATCATTGAAGGCAATGTAGAAATATAGCTGAGAAGAAAAGTACTTGAATCACTGCAATGCCACTAGCCTCTCTGTCATTCTTTAATTTATATGTACTTTGTATTTTGTTGAAAATGAAATGCTGTTTAGTAACCTCTTCTGCTTGAACATTGAAGCATAAAAATATTTAAATATCTGTATAATTCCACAGTATTATTTACAGTGGCCACACATTTTATTATATATGTGCCATGTTACTTTCTTTCGTGTCTGTGTGTTTGTGTGTGTGTACCTCAGGTGCAGACAATGGAGGTCACCTTACTGTTCAGTTCGTGGTACATCAACTTCATCCTATGCTAAGGTTCATTTAATTCATCCAGAAACTCCCTCCTCTGCCCTTCCCCCACCCAACAGCAACTGCGTTCATGGTTTATCTTTTTGTTTGCGTTCTTGCAAAATATATATATCACTGTCCTGCTTCCATGCCTTTTAATTTATGTAGATAATAGTGTTAATGTATGGTTTTGAGTTCGCTCCCCATATTTAAAATTCAGCTCCATTGCCGGCGCTGTATCCAAACCGTTGCTTCTGACGACTGTGCAGCCCTGTGCTGTGCATCTTCTCCACTCCTCTTTCCTAGTAGTGAATGCTCAAACGGCTGCCAACCGTCCCCTCCATAATTAAGGGCCAATGAGTATTTTTGTGGCCTTGGAAACATTTTAGGCCATATCCCCAGAGCAGAATTTGTGGGTCATGTATTTAATTTGACTAATTATTGCCAGATGGTCCTAGAATGGACAATCTACATCCCCTAAGCAGAGTTTGCAGTTCTTATAAACCCATATCCCATCTACACTGTAATCCAGCTTTCTCTTCTTTCACCAGTCTAATAGATACAGATGTCTGTTTCATATTAACATGTATGTCACTGATTGCTAATGGAAACGATGTGTTCTGTTGTTTACCTATGGGTGTAAAGTATCTCCTCATTTATTCAGAGCCTCCCCTATGTTATTTAATCATTCATCTATTGTTGCATATTTAGATTCCCAGGAAGAGTGAAGAAGAAAAAGGAAGACCTGAACTACTTAGAAAGCTCATGAGCCAGTGTGAAGGTAAGAAAAAAAAGATGGCAGGGTGCCCCAATGGCCATTTGCCCTCTGCTTACCTTTACAGGATCTGTATTTTATTTTTTATTATTTTATTTTATTTTTTTACTTTCAGATAAGAGAGAAATCAGGAAGGGGAGAGAGACAGACAGACACCCTTCATGGGGTCACATCATACCTCGATCCTTCCCCTAGCCTCCTAGCTAGCCAGGATCACAGGCACACCTGTGTGTTGAAGTTGACCTGGGACTTGAACCTGGATCTCCCACGCAGCTCAGTGTGGACCAGTGGCGCCCACCACCTGCATCACTCCAGCTGGGCCTGGCATCCCATCTTGAAGTCAAGTGGTCAGAGAACGTGAAAGATGGGAAGGAGGTGTTCAGTAGCCCTTACTGCCTAATCTTGCAGGCACAATTGCAGCTTTAAGATATAATCTGTAGATTCATTCTTTTCTTTTTCAAGTTCTCTGATACTTAAGGATTTCAAACCATAAGTTTGACCTGAGAGTGGGATGGGAGTGGAGTAGGTAAAAGAGGAGGGTGGTTTTAGAAATAGATCTTGGAGCCTGGCAGTGATGGCAGGAGGGACTAACAGGCTTCCCCGTCCTAGATGTTTGCCCTTGTATTTGAGGGCTCCTTTGTGCATTGTGCTTTTTTCCCCCTATTTATGTTAAGAAATGTCCTTGTATAGATATGGAGCAATTCTCCAACTCATTTGATTCATCGAGCTTACCACATTAATATGTCTGCTATTGGTTGCCAAAATTAAGATTTGAGGAAGATTTTATAAGAAATCATTTGGATGAGTCTAGGGTCAATTTCAGTCTCACAGAATCTTATTATCTAGGGGTGGGGATCAAGAATCTGTTTCGTAGAGAATTTCTTGGTTTATTCCGATATTAAACCAGGTGTGAGAGCCTCACTGGGCCAGGCCCTTCCTCTTCAGCGCTCAGGCTAACTCCCAGTACGATAACATACTTTGAACATACCAGGCAATTGGCTCTAGCCCAGCACTCAGAAACCTTCATCCTGACTGGCTTAGAACTAATCACATCCTTTCTTGCTGTATGTAATGCAAGTTACATCTCTTTTCAGCATTCAGGACAGATGGAAACAATGTCAGCCACCCCTCTTGCATAGCATACTTATATAAGAAAATATTAAAAGGTAACTTATTCATGTTTTTGTAAACTTCACAATTGCAAAAAAATCATTTACTAGAGAGTTGAACAAACAGGAATGATATAATAGTTTCCTGTCTTAAGCCTGTTTTTTTGGACTGTACTTTGCCCAGTTAACAGTGGTGGCTGCTGGCATGGGGAGAGGTATAATTCTCTTGCAGATTGTAGGAATTGCAGCTCACGCAGGGAGTCCTCTGTGATGGAAGCCAGTCAGTTTTTATGGACTTCAATGCTATTTGCTTCAGTACACTTTGAAATGCAGGGTCAGCTCACTGAGCTACATCATGCAATAATAACACATTTTTATAGGAGTAGCTTGTCAGAACAGCAACAACATGCAATACATAAAACCAATAAACACACCATGTCTACAGATTCTAGCCCAGTAACCAGGATAAAGCAATAAAAATGACAGCAGCCATCAAAAAGCTCCCTTTCTAACTTTGTGGGGCAAATTTACTATTGCTTAAAACAGAGGAGCTGTCACGAGGCCTTAGATCAGCGTGCAGTTAAGGAGCTGCAAGTTGCATCTCATGGAAAGGAAGCATGTTTGTGAATGAAAGCAAGATGGACAATTATGTGTTGCTAAGGTTTGGGACCCTGGCATCTTGTGTGTAGTGCAATGTGCATCAGGGACATTCTACAGAATGCTTTTGTTTTTCTAAGTTACATATTAAATATTATGGAAGACAGTGTGTCCATGGAGTGGTAGGATCAGCAATTAGGTTTTTTTTTCATCTGCAGCTTAAATATTTGACAGAAAATACAGGAAACTCAGTGGACTAGAGGTCTTTAAGACTGGATTTTTGGAGTATGGACCTTTCACACACTGAGATGAGAAAATTAGGAAGAATAAACTTATATTTATAGTATTTTTCTTATAATTAATAATAGGGAATGATTTTACTTGGAGGTATTTGGCTGGGAATTCAGAGCCAACCCCCATCTACCAAAATTCCAGTAGCTGGATAGAAGACCAGGAATTCTTCTTTATTTTTTTAAGAGATTTTTGCTATAGGGCATGTGAACTCACCAGAGAGACAGAGAGACAGAAAGTAAGAAATCACCCTCCCAGAAGAAATGGCCACACCGCAATCCCTTCTCCTCCATTCTCCTCTCGAGATTTTGGGCTCATACGCACACATGCCCATCATGAGTTTAAAGCCGCCAGGTTCAGGACTTGAACCACGGTCGACTACGTGAGAGTCACGTGACATAACCATCACACTACTCGTTCCCAGGAATCCATTTTTAAAAAGATTTCTCTGGGAGATTCTAGTGACAGACTTGCTGAAAGCCCAGGAAATGATGGAGATGTTAGTTGAAGCTAAGAGTAGGTATGTATGGACATGAGAGGAAAACTAGGAACCGATCAGGACTCAGGGCTCAGATGCCAGGCAAAATGTCAAAATGTCAAACATTGTTAAAAATACATTGAATCTCGGGCCAGCCACAGGCTAAGACAGTTGGATTTCACATGGCTGACTGAGCAGTTCAAGTCCCAGACCTAGTGGCTTAAAAAACGCACAGGGTACATATGTGTGCGTGCCCCACATCCAAGTGGAGAATGGAGGAGAAGGGATTATATCCTGGCCATATCCTTTGTGGGGGGTGACTTCTCACTTTTTCCCTCTCTCTCACTCTCTCTTGCTGTTTCTCTCTGGCAAACACAGGCACCCTGTAGCAAAAACTCTCTATCTAAACATATCTAATCTTAGACTTGTTTAGGATACTGTTGGGCAAAGACCCTCTCTTGGATTGTACATTTGGGCACTTGGGAGATACAGGTCAAGACAGGTAATTAAAACAAGTGAAGATCATTCCAAACACCCATAAGCATCAGAAAGGCAATAAAACCAGGTGCTGTGAGAGTGAATTGGGCATCGCATAGAGGTGGCTGGATTGGTTAGATCAAGGACGGACTCCCCTCAGAGGAGAAAACATTAACACTAAAATCTCAGGACTTGGGGGATCTAGCCTTTTAGAGACTGATGGCAGCATCTCCCAGTCTAAGGAAAGAACAAGTGGGAAGTCCTGAGATCTTTGAGCAGGAAAGAGTTTTATCCACTGCTGTTCTTAGACTAGGGGGAAGAGTTTGGACCCCCCAGTTTCCACTCTGTTATTATGTTGTAGTAGTACACCTTCCAGCTAAGAGCTAATGAATTCTGATTGGATATTAAAGTTGATCGAGTTTTCCTTTGATAGCCAGTGAGACTTTTGTAACTCTCAGTTGCCTTCTCCATCTCTGCCCTGGAACTGGGGACTTAATCAAGGCTGTATAAATACAACACTGGAGAACAAGAGCTCTGCATGAGCCTGTCTGACTCGCCAGATTTGAGAAGACTGAGGACTGCTTGAGCATGACTTTGGACTGTGAAGACATTGTCAGCTTCACTGAAACACAGCGGCAGAAGAGCCCTGTTTGTCTGTCTGCCTTCAGTTTGGTCCCCTGTCTGTTGCTGGTTCGCTCTCAACAGAAACCTCTTCTCTCTGCACCAGCCGTATTATGTTCCCAGCAGTTAGTATGCAACGATGTCTTCTTCCATGAGTTTTCATTGTAAATGTGCTATCTCAAATGCTCTCCGAGGTAAATAGGTTTTTGAGGGCCAGTCTGGGAATCAAACCACCATTTATTCTACAGTTCCTGTGGGAAATGGCTTCTAAAGACCAAATGCCCAAATAAGGAGAGCAATGTAGACTGCAGCCCACCTGTAAATTAGGCTCTGTAACATGAGACCAAGAGCACTAGACAGGCAGGAGGGATCCTCCTGAAGGAGGCAAGAGTGATAGAAATCCTAAACCCTGGGGTGGAGTCAGGGTTGGGGCTTTTTCATAGCTATTTGTACCCTAGGGGCATTATAGAGACCTTAGAAACCCAAGGATTAAGGAGATTAATGGAGTCTATTTGATAGCAAGAGTCATTTTTCAGGCTTTTCTTTTAAATTCATTGTGTTTTTCCTTTTTTCATTTACAATAAGCAATTAGACTGTGTCCTGGACTATTTCCCAAATGGCTCCATTACTGAGAACCCAGATTGGAGCACAATGCCAGAGCTGTGGAACAGAGCCTCTGTGTGCGCATGTGTGCGGTGAGGGCTGGGTGTGTGGGGCATGGCCTCAAATTGCTAGATTGTGGGGGCTGATGATTTCCCTTAGGGGATGGACTGGGAGGTGTTGTGAGGGATGTCAGTGGGTGGAAGGGACATGGCCTTTTTGCGAATTCCTGCTAAACTCATTTATTTGCCTTCTCTGGAAACCTTTAGCACTAAATGTGTTGGTATTTCCACCTGAGAAGAAATTTTACTGCAAAAACTAGCAGGATGATCAACAAGAGTAAAAATACCACAAGGAAAAAAATGCCCACAGCTGTAATCCCACAGGACAGTTTGACATCAGCCAGTTTAACTCCTCTGAGAGAATCGGGGTTTGCACACACAGTCTCTTCCACGCCCTCAAGTTTTTGCAGATTTTCTTTGTACCATGTTAAGAAATGAATATTCGAGCAAGTGCAGTCCAAGGGGTTGTGACTTAAATTAATGGAGCTCTGCTGGGACAAAATGGGGAGGAGATGGGGTGGGACGATGCCAATGCTATTGGCGGCCAGATTGAGGTAGAGCCCCTTAAGATGCCTGAGAGCATTAATGCTATTCCACGTCAGGCTGTTTTGGCTCAAGTCTACATGACTCATGTTTCCAAGGCTGCGGAATGCTTGCTGATCTATGGAGAGGAGCTCACAAGAAGATAAAATCAGACTCTCCAAACTGCCCACTGTCTGGAGTAGGCTGGTCTTCTGGATACTGCCATCTTGAAAGCGGTTCCCTTGTAAATTCAGATACCGGAGATCGGGCAGGCCTGCTAGGAGGTGCTGGTTGTTGGTATCTACGAGGCAGTGAGAGAGATTCAGAACCTGCAGGAGAGGAAGGTTTTGGAAAGGACTTTGTGGAGCAGTAACGTGTAAGTGGGTAAATGCCAAATCCAGGACTTCTAGCTGAGGACATTCTTTGAACGCCTGACTCTGGAGACCCAGGGGCATATTGTAGCTCAGGTTTAGGCTTTGCAAGTGGAGAAGATTTTTCAGTTGCAGGTTGCAGCAGTCAGAAGCCTCTATGTCATTATGGCTTAAATCAAGTTTTTGAAGATGTTCTAGTTTTTCCAGACAGGCAGCACCGAGGTGAAGTTTTTTCCTGTTGCCCCTGATGCAGAGGTGTGTGAGAGAGGGGAAATTGGCAGCATTGATTTGACACAATTGGTCAAAATGATTTGCATTGAGAACTAATTTCTTCAGCAAGTTCATGCCCTCCATCTCAGAAGGTAGCTCTTCCAAGTGAGTTCCCGTCAGATCCAATTCCTGGAGTCGGGTGAAACACTGAAACAGGGCTGGAGAGACATCTAAGAATCGGTGCTTCTGCAGGTTGATGCTCTCAACAGACATTTCACAAAGCCCCTTGAACGTGTCTGAACTAAGATCTTGGTCATCTGCGTCTTCAAATGTCCCCAGCCAGAGAGACTGAATACTAGAGTTTTGTAGACCCCTGAATATAACAGACAAGTCAAGAGTCCCCCCAAAGTTCAAACTTTGGAAGACTGTTGAGTTGAAAGCCCCAGGCTCAATACCTTTAATGCCATTGCCATTGAAATTCAGGCTTAGGTTGGTGGCCTGCTTCAGAGAGTTTATATCTTCGAGAGAGAGGTAATGTATCGCATTATTCTGAAAATCCAAGACTTTCAGATTCTGTATTGGGAAGTCTTTGGGGATCTTAATGGAGGAAATATGATTGCCTCCCACGTATAAGCTTTCCAAATTTCCCAGATTGTGCACTGGGATAAACTCAAGATTGGATATTTCTGTTTGGATTAAGAAAAGATGCTTCAGTGATCTGGGCCCATTAAATGCTGTCTCTGCCATGAATATCAGGGGATTTCCAGTTAACACAAGTGTGTTCAGTTGATGATGGCTTTGAAAAGTGTCTTCATGTATCCAGTTAATCTGGCACCTTGGAAAGAGTAATTAACAAAAATTAATTAGAAAAAACAGAACCACCCTGTCATAATCACAAGAATGAACAAAGTCATCTTTCGTATATGGTAAAAACAGTATACATCAGGACCAGCAGTTGGTGTAATGACTATGTTGCTGGACTCTCATGTAGTCAACTGCGGTTTGAGTCCCGAACCCGGTGGCTTAAACTCATGCTGGATGCATGTGTGTGTGTGTCCAAGATCCCAAGAAGAGAATGGAGGAGAAGTGACTGTAGCGTGGCCATCCCCCCTGGGGGGTAATTTCTCGCTTTCTGTCTCACTCTCTGTCTTTCTGGCAAGCGCACATGCCCTGTAACAAAAACCTTTAAAAAAACAAAACAAACAAAAACCAAACCAAAAAAACAGTATACATCATTATCAAACATAAAGAACTGTTTTCAGCACCCATACATGGCCTATTGATTTAATCAGTGAGCGGGCCAGCAGGTGGCGTGAAGATTAAGTCAGTTGGATCCCACATGGCCTACTGCTGTTCAAATCCCCGGACTCAGTGGATTGAAAATCCATGAATGTGAATGCATGCCTAAAATCCCAAGGGGAGAATGCATGGCCACCCCTTCTGGGAGATGATTTCTTGCTTTTATTCTCTCTCTTTTTCACTCCCTCTCTCTCTTTCTTTTTATCTCCAGTGAGCATATGTGTCCTACAGCTAAAAACAAAGCAAACAAAATCAATGAGCAGACCTAGTTCTAATCACTTCAATTTAGAATTTTTTTCAGATATCTTGCCCCTTTAGATTGGATAATCAGAGGTTTATGTTTGTATTTTAAGGAATAATTAGTAGTGTGATTCTAGGCAAAAATCAAACTATTGTTTCCTATTTTAAGTAATGCAAAAAATATATATATAATACATAATATATAATACATGATATATAATATATGGATAAATTAAACTATGCTGTGTGGGCAAGTTGTGAATTTTCTCATCTATGAAGTATAGAAATAATGGCTAGCTGTGGAACTGTTGTGAGACAAATAAAATATGTGAATATATTTTCTAGAACTACAGAACTTATGGTTCAGAGAAACCCATTCTGGTATTGTATATAAAAACACTGGGTCACACATAAATACACACATGTATGCATGAATGGTCTCTTCATCTAACCATAAGCTGACTGGTAATATTCACTATGGGTGCTTTGCAATGGTGGTTAGAAAGATGGTATAGTGCTATGGATGAGAATATTCTCTCACCCTGCAAGATTTAACTTGAGAGGTCGAAGCAGAAGAAATAGAATTGCTGCAGGAGGTGCAAACGTCCTCTACACACAGGGCCTGTTCCCCCTCCTTTACACACACACGAGCTGTATACCACTTTGGTACTCTTCCCTTATTTTCTTATAGATCTCTGTTCCCTGGTTCTCACACACTAGCTCAGCATTTGGAACCCTGATTCTGCCACTAAGACGACATAATGAAATGCTATTTCCAGTTTGTAGGGGGAAGAGGTTAGTACATTGTATGTGTGTTTCTCTTCTCTTTTTTTTTTTTTTTTAGAAGTTTATTTCTTTCTCTTTTATAAACAAGAAAGACAAAGAAAGAGACATTTCCAACAAGGTCCTTCATGCTGCACTCCATCCTCAGCATCAGCCAGCCCAGAAAATGGCACGTTCAGACATGAACCCAGAACCCCCAATATGGATCGGTCTTGAAGAATATCATGCCATCTTTATGCCACCATCCAGCCTCTCCCTCTAGATATTTTTCTAAAATGTCATTACCAAATGATAGTCGACTATACTGAAATATCGTATAGCATGGTATATGACTTAGAGTAAGAGTTATTTTGATTTTTGTTATCAGTATTCCTTAGAACTTCTTAAGCAGCACTGCCAGTGCAACTAACTGGAAATCACCCAGTTTTCACTCCATTGATTGGTGATTACCTAAATTACATTTCACATGCATAGTAGTGTTTCGTGGGAAAGGGTAAGCATGCAGGATAAATAGATTGTCCTGGGCCTCCAAAAGATTGTGGAAACAATTTGGATGTGTTGTTACACTCTATTGGCCTGAGAAGGCCTCCATACATATATACTTGAGTTCTTGTAAACAAACCACAACGTCACTTGGGAGTCTGCTTCCTTAACAAATTGGTGAGTCATAGTCGATCCCACCAGACGTGATGCAGTCTCATAGACTGTATCCTTAAACCGTGTGCATACTGGCAAATTCCAAGCTGGAACCAGCCCTGCTGCTTCTCTACCTCATTTCCCTCACTTCTATTTTCTTACATCGCTTTCCTTCTCCTGTCCATGAAAGTTACTGGACCACATAACACCTCCGGAGTTCTTCAGAAGCCATTTTCGGGGCTACCTGATTGGCAAATCTTTTTTTTTTTTTCTTTTCCCTCAATTAAATTCTGCCAAATGAGATTTACCTAAAGTTTTGTTTGTCTGCTTGTTTTGAGGGAGATTTTTGCTGTAGGGCACATGTGCTTGCCAGAGAGACAGAGGGAGACAGACAGAAAGCAAGAAATCACCCCCCAGGGGGAGACGGCCATGTTGCAAGCCCTTCTCCTCCTTTCTCCCTTTGAGATTTTTGGGCATGCGTGCACATGCATCTGGCTTGAGTTTTAAGCTGCTGGGTCCAAGACACGAACCGTAGTTGAGTTTGTGGGAGTCCAATAATGTAACCATTATGCCATCTGCTGGTCCCGGATTTGCCTGAAGTTTTTATTTTAACATTGTGTTTTTACTTAAATAAAACATCAAGAGTACACAAGGAACTCAGATACATACCTGGTTAAATCCAAAAAGGTCAGATTTATGAGTCTGCTGAAGGTTGTATTTTGAATTATAGGTAAGAAATTAAAGCTGAATTCCAAAAACTCTGTCGTGTTTGGTAGACCATCAGGGATTTTACTGAGACCTAAATTTTCACAGTTGTATGTCTTGTTGACTTCTTCCTGAGGGAAGAAACAATGTAAATTAATATTAGATTTAGATTTTATTACTTGCCAAATGATATATGTTTCACCCTTTGAGTAGAAGTTCTGCTTCTAGAAATAGTGACCAAATGTACACTTATAAAAACAAAATTACTTATGCACAAAACTTTCATTATGGTATTTTCATAATAGCAAAATTTGGCAACGACCAAACTATCTATCAATATAGAACTAGTTGAACACAATATGATACGTTCACAAAATGGAATCCTCTGTAGCTAAAAATAAAAGACTGATTTCCATGCATGATAAGGAGTGATATCTAGAATATACTGTAAGGTGAAAATAAAAAGAAACAATACATATGCTGTATAAAGCATGTGGTGTGTAACATGTAGACTATAACAAGCCACCGTTTATGTGAGAAATAGAAACGGATGTGCATTTTTTTCTTACGTCTCTGAAAAGAAACAATGGGAAAACCCCAAAATGCTTGTCTTGAAGGTGGGGGGAAGGGAACTAGACAGAGGAGCAGGGATGGAAGCAAGACTTCTGTGTATAACTTAGTTTTATAGATTTTTATGTTGCTTGCATAAAAATGTCTTATTTCAGTTTGAAAACAAACAAATCAACCCTAGCTTAGTATTACCAAAATAAGACAATTACACATGACATATTTTCTTTTAATAAAATGGTCAAAGGCAGTCCCAAACCTGGAGGCTTGAAACTCAGCCAGGCACATGTGTGTATGTGCTCAAAATCCTGAGAGGAGAATGGAGAAGGGATTGCAGCGTGGCCATCCCCCCAGGGGATGATTTCTCACTTTCTGACTCTCTGTCTCTCCAGCAAGCATACATGCCCTATAGCAAATATCTGTTAAAAAAAGAAGTTTAAAGGCATATAAAATTGTTTGTATATATTAGGCATAACATAATGTTTCAAAGTATATATACATTGTGGAATGATTACTTTTACTTAATTAACAAATGTATTACCTCACATACATATGATTTTGTGGTAACAATACCAAATATCCACTCTCTTATGATTTTCTAAGAATATGTCATATTGTCATCCACTATAGCCACCCTACTATACAAATAGATGTCTTGACTTATTTCTCCTATCAAATATGTATTTTTTGTCTAACATCTTCCCAAACCTGTCTTTCCTAACTGTACCAGTTTCTGGTAATGACCATCCACTCTATACTTCCAATATTACATACTTTCTGGTATATACATAGCATCACCTATGAAGTATTTTTGTCAAGAAAAAGTTAAACTTGAATCCAACCAAGACTTTAGGACTAACCTCACATGTACACGTGACATGGTAGATTTAAGTTAACAGCAACGCAGGCCTCTGTCTTAGTCTGTAATTGCGTTGCAGACAGCAATACCTGTGACTGGGTGATTTATCAGAAACTGAGGTTTATTTGATTCCTGATTCCAGTGATTGGAAAGTTTCAAGGCATGAGGCTGGCATCACGGCCAACAAAAGCAGAGAGGCTGTGTGTGCAGAGAGCTCATGGTCTGTGTTCCACATGGGTCTTTCTCTGTCATTTCCTCTCCTTGTAAACCTACCAGATTCAATTATGGGAGGCCTTGCCTTCTCCACCCAATCATTAATCTCCTCCCCGTGGTTCCACCCTTCAACACAATAATAGAATCAAGTTTTTATTCTCTTAATCCCTTTACAATGGCTCAGTACATGAATTTTCAGGGGACATATCCAAACTACAACAGGATCAATCAACAAAATGTAGAATGTGAGATCTTCTGTTAAACAACTGACTTTGTGTTAACAGTTTGTGAAAGACACAAGGACAGGTTTGGGGAATTAGAGTAGAGACAACTCTTAGTAGAAGAGAAAAAGAGATATGAAAGTTTGTTAAGAAACATAGCCAGGGACCAGCAGATAGCGTAATGGCTATGTCGCTGAACTTCCATGTAGTCAACCACTGTTCGAGTCCCGGACCCGGTAGCTTAAACTCACACCAGGCATGTGTGCGTGCGTGCCCAAGATCCTGAGAGGAGAATGGAGGAGAAGGGATTGTGGTGTGGTCATCCCCCCCTGGGGGGGGGGGGATTTCTCGCTTTCTGTCTCTCTGTCTCTCTCTGTCTTTCTGGCGAGCACACGTGCCCTATAGCAAAAAAACTCTTAAAAAAAAAAAAAAAAGAGACATAGCCAACTAATGAATAGAGTAGCCACGGTTTAGATCTGATTCAAATGAAGCAGTTAGGCAAGGCAGTTTACAGGCCATTGGGGCACTTTGACTAAGGACAAGATTAATTGATATTATGCAATTATACATTTTGTTAGTGACAGTGTCCTTGAAATTATGTAAAAGAAATGTTCTTAATTCTTTTGAGATGCATAGTGAAGTATTTAGGGGTAAAATGCTAATGGCTGTTGAATGTGGAGTGATACATACATAGAGGTTCTTTGTGACTAACCACTTCTGTGAATTTAAATTTGTTCTTAATAGAATGTTGAAAAAACTAGCAGAGTGGCACAGACTTTATGCCTTGTGATTCTAAAGTAAGAATTAATTTAGACTCCCTAGATCTGCAGGCTGCTGACAACAGACCCCAGGCATTAGGAACAGCCCTGCACGTAAGTACAGAGGACGTCCTCCTCCCGTGTCCTGGAATAGCCAAGGATTCAGAAGTCTGCCAATCGCTGCCTGTTAGATGCCTTTACTCACATTACAAATCTCAGGTCAGGGGCCAGGTGGGAGCACAGCAGTAATGCATCTGTACTCGCATGGGAACGGCGGGGTAGTGTCTGAGGCATCCCTGATCTCCCCAGGTACACTCATGCTTGCCCATGACCTGGACTGGCTGAGATTAGGGGTGGTTATGGTGCAGCAATCATTTTGGGGGGTGTCTGTCTCTCTCTCTACTCTCTCTCATATGGTAGAAATACATAAACTTTTTTTTTTAATTAGGTAAATAATGTGAAGTGGTTGGTTAGAAGCCTATAGAGCTTAATTTATCTGGATGATGCTTTAAGATGAAGGTAGTAGGATAAGCAGAAGATTCTGATGGGGCAGGTGTGAAAGTGAGTTGGGGTATATTTTGCCTGGAGAGGCTCCTAGGAAAGAAAGAAATTACATGCAAAGAAAGTGCCCTTGGAGAGACAAGGTCTAAGACAGATGTACCAGGACTGCAGGCCAGTTCTCAGGTCATCTCGGGTTGCAGGAGAGTCCCTCCAACCTTTCAGCCTCTGCTTCCCCTGATTACATGTGGGATCACCAAGGGTCCCAGTGAGATTGCCCTGACTGGAAGAGAACTCCTCATTGAACTCCATACTAGCAACTTTTTTGGTGGCAGACAAATGAGCCTGCTTAGCTAGAAACACACTACATGCATCCTCCCCTGCTCCAAAGCAGGAGGCTTTCGAGATGTTGCCACTTTAATCACTTTGAGCTTCACTCACTCGGGTTTCTGCTTAGTGGTGCACTTTGTTTGTAGCTACAGTGAGCATGCTCATCTGCAGGAAATCACCGGTTTTCTCTGATATTGTGACAATGTTATAGCTGTCACTGATGTAAATGCCATATTTATATTTCTTTATAATTCATTCCTTGTTTTATAGACCCAAAGTCCTCCCGGCACTGCTGCAAATCCACGTAATGCCCTTGAAATGCACACTTTGTATTTAAAACTTAGATTTAGCTGACTGGTGGGAAAAAACACACATGTTTCCAGGCTTGTCCTTGGCACCCATGAATATGGACAACCCGGAGGGAATATGTATGTGCAGCTGCTGCCCCAGTAGTTGCTAAGATGCTGATTAGCTTGGAGGAGACATTTTTCTTTTCTGGCCTACGTTGGCATAACTGATGTCACATATGCTTGGATAAAAGGGACTTCCCTCCCCTATTGCTCTATTCTGGCCCCACAGCCAGGCTCAATGCTGGCAGTTCCCTCCTTCTCTTGGATATGGAAGTGCCACTGACACCAGAATTATTCCATGTCTCGGCCTCCTGTGTGCTTTCCGAAGCACTACCTCACTAATGCAATTAGAAAGTTGAGAACTCAGGAGGAGTTCTCCTGAGCTAGTGACCTGAGGGAGCTTCTACAAAATGGACAGGCAGAAAATAGAACAGCTCAGTTTCAACCCTGTGAAAACCAAGAACCAGTGGGTAACACTACCAGGGAGTATCAAGAAGCCTACCTTGAGCCTGTGCCATACATAACATTAATCTCCCGTTAGGTGGAAATGGCAATGGACCCTTGATTCCTAAAAGGAAGAGGCAAATGACAAGATGTGTGGCTGATAAGAGAATATAAAAATCAAACACATTTCAGAGAATGTTGGGACTCAAAACTCGTGACATCTCCATTATAGCTTCTATAGTGACAATTGTATTATCAAAATTGCCACGAGGTTGGGGACACCAATAGGGTGTATGCACTTGCCAGAGAGACAGAGAAAGATAGACAGAAAGTGAGAAATCACACACCAGTGAGTATAGCCACACTACAACCATCCTCCTCTCAGGATTTTGGGCATGCACACACATGCTCCCAGCATGAGTTTTAAGCTACCTGGTCTGGGACTCAAACCACGGTCAGGAATGTGGGAGTCCAGTGATGTAACCATTATGTCATCTGCTGCTTCCATCCTCCCTCTTTTTTGCTGAGAGTGAATTGTAGACATTGTGACACTTCATCCCTAAAGATTTCAATTTAGATCTTCTGTGACCTAAGATATTCTCTTAGCCAACCAAGATGTTGTTATCAACTTCAGAGCACTTAACATTGATATATACACTGTTATGTATGTATGTACTTAATCTATATTCAGATTTTGCCAATTGTCCCACTACTGTTTTTTATAGGACTTTCATTTTTTCCAATGCAGGATCACACATTGCATTTAGTTGCACTATCTCCTTAGTCCCCTTTCATCTGGGACAGTTCCTTATCTTCTCATTGTCTTTCATGACATGGGTATTTTTTGAAGAGTGTAGGCTCATGTTTTACAGTGTCCCTCAGTACGGGTTT